TTTTTTTTGCTGTACATGGGCCTCTCACTGTTGTGGCCTCTCCCGTTGCGGAGCACAGGCTCTGGACGCGCAGGCTCAGCGGCCATGGCCCACGGGCCCAGCCGCTCCACGGCATGTGGGATCCTCCCGGACCGGGGCGCGAACCCACGTCCCCTGCATCGGCAGGCGGACTCTCAACCACTGCGCCACCCGGGAAGCCCAATATATCTTATTTTTTGATACATTTCAAAGTAGGCTGCAGACATCAGCACACTTCCACCTAGCTACTCCAGCATGCATAAAAGTAACAAGAATTAAATATTAGTTTACAGTTAACTTTTTTTTTAAAGTAAAATTTGCATGCAGTGAATTGCACAGATTTTAACTGGACCATTCCATGAGTTTTGATCAAATTTACATTGGTGTAACCCAAACTCCAATCAAGATAGGAAACATTACTATCACCCAGAAAGTTCCATCATTCCCCTTCCCACTCAACCCCACAGGCAAAAAGATGTTCAACATTATTAGGGAAATGTAAATTAAAATCACAATGAGACACCACTACACACCAATCAGAAAAGGTAAAATAAGAAATTGTAATAACACCAAATGGTGGTGAGGATGTGGAAAAATTGGATCACTCATAAATTGGGTGTGAAGGGAAAATGGTATGGCCACTCTGGAAAAGTAGAGCAGTTTCTTTACAACACTAAACATTCGCTTACCACATGACTCAGCAACTGTACTCCTGGGCATTTACCCCAGAGAAATGAAAATTTATGTGCACACACAAACCTGTACATGCATGTTCATAGCAGCTTTACCTGTAATAGCCTCTGTGATATTGTGATTGATAAAATATATATATATATATATATATATGTTTATATACACATTTGGATATTCAGATGACCAAAATATATTTCTCATATATATGTGGTTTTAGTCCACAGTTCCTGGCTCACAGCTTCCAAAAGCCTTGTAATTTCCTAAGCATTGACAGTGATAAGGGTGTCTTGTGAATGAAGTGACTTTTAGAAGCACCTAAAGATCAGGGGCCTGGTTGCCAGGAGAACCAACCAAGAGATTAGAGGGTTGGAATTTTCAGTTCCACTCCCTGATTTCTGGGGAGGAGAGAGGAGCTTGAGGTTAAATCAATTGCCATTGGCCAGAGATTTAGTCAATCATGACTATGTAATGAAGTCTCCATAAAAACCCCATTTTCGGAGAGCTTCCACAATGGGAAGCCATGATGCTTCCATGTGCCACCATGCTGGTCCCCAAGCTCCATGAGGACAAAAGCTCCTTTGTTCAGGACCTGGCCCTATGTATCTCTTCATCTCCATGAGGACAGAAGCTCCTTTGTTCATGACCTCGCCCTATGTATCTCTTCATCTGGGTTTTGAATCATATCCTTTAATATACTTTTATAATAAATCAGTAATCTAGTGAGTAAATGGGTTTTATTGAGTTCTGTGAGCCGTTCTAGCAAATTAATTAAACTCAAGAAGGGGGTCATGGGAACCTCTGGTTTATAACCAGTCTGTCAGAAGCACAGGTGGCAACCTGGACTTGCACCTGGAAGTGGAGGGTGGTCTTACATGTGGAATGTAATGCTATCTCCGGGTAGATAGTGTCGGAATTGAGTTGAATTCTCGAACACCCTGCTGGCATCCGAAAATTGCTTGTTGGTGTGGGGAAGCCTGCACACACACAAACACACACACACACACACACGCACGTTGGAATTTGAAATTTTTCAGTCCCAAAGTGGAAACAACTTAAATGTCCTTCAACAGGTTAAACAAACTGGCACATCCATACCAAGGAACAGGACTCAGCAACAAAAAGAAAAAAGCTACAAACTACAGAGACACATAGTACCTTGGGTGGACCTCAGGGGGTTATGCTGAGTGAAAACAAGCCAATCTGATTCCGTTCATACAGCCCTCGTAAAATGACAACTATGTGAACAGATCACAGTTGCCAAGGGTTAGGGAAGTGGGGAGGAAGGGAGGGAGGTGGCTATAGCTACAAAAAAGGCAGTATGAGGGTTCCCTAAGCTGGAAGCATTCTGTGTCTAGACTGTGGTTGTGGTGACATGAGTCTACAGGTGATAAAATTATACGGAATTAAACACAGACACACAAATGTGTGCATATCAAACTGATGAAATCTGAATGAGGTTGATGGATTGTATCAATGCCAATTTTCTGGTTGTGTTATTGTACCAGACATGCAAGATGTCACTATTGGGGAAACTGGATGAAGGGTATATGGAATCTCTGTATTATGCCTGACATCTGTGTTAAAAAAAAAAGGGCATTTCTCAAAGCATACACAAAAAAGGGAAGAGTGGGAAAGGGAGGACTCTTCACTTTTCATTTCACACCTTGCTGTTTTTTGTTTTTGTTTTACCACATGCATGCAATACTTTGTTGTCGTTAATTACCACTTGTGTTTTGGTTCTGTAAAAAAATATCACTTTGGGGACTTCCCTGGTGGTCCAGTGGTAAAGAATCCACCTTCCAATTCAGGGGACGTGGGTTCGATCCCTGGTCAGGGAACTAAGACCCTACCTGCCGTGGGAAAACTAAGACCACGCGCCACAACTACTGAGCTCACGTGCCTCAGCGAGAGAGCCCACGTGCTGCAAACTACAGAGCCCACGGCGCCCTGGAGGCCGCACGCCATAGCTAGAGAGAAGCCTGCACACCGCAATTAGAGAGAAGCCCGTGAAGCTGGCACGCTGTAAGACCCACACAGCCAAAAAAAAAAAAATATATATATATATATATATATATATATATAATTTTTAAGAATTTTACCTAAATAAGTTGTGTTTTAGAAACATAACATTATTTGGTAAGCTTGGAATTTGAATTACAACACAAGGAAGTGGTTCAGTATTGAACTCTGAGCATTGACATAATTGCAAATTTTATATTACAACTGTTGATCAGAAGGAGAGGGGAGGAGGCAACTAAGCATGCAATGGTTGAAATGATAGAAAAGAGTGTTCCGTAATTGAAATAAAATATAGCTGCATTTGGAGGCTTTTCCTTTTCTCGCTGTGATGGTTAGTTTTATGGGTCAACTTGACTGTGCTAACGGATGTCCAAAGAGCTGATAAAACATAATTTCTGGGTGTGCCTGCGAGGGTGTTTCCAGAAGAGATTAGCATTTGAATCCGTAGAAGAGGTGGTTCTCACCAATGCGGGTTTTCATCATCCAATCCACTGAGGGCCCGAATAGCACAAAAAGGCAGACGGGAGAATTTGCTGTTTGAACGGAGACAGCCATCTTCTCCTTCCCTCGGACATTGGCTCTCCTGGTTCTCAGGCCTTTGAACTTGGACTGGAACTGACCCCAGCTTTCCTGGGCCTCCAGCTTGCAGATGGCGAATGATGGGACTCCTCAGCTTCCATAGTCATGTGAGCCAATACCTCACGATAAATCTTTCTATATATTTATAAACATCCTATTGATTCTTTTTGGGAGAACCCTAATATAATCATTTTTTATTCTATTTGGCATAAGTTCAGACATTAAAATCTAGATCACATGTGCAAGGATTAGTCTAGAAATTGTCTCATTCCTTCAGTGAAGATTAAATTCTTCTATTAGATTAGAAAAATAGGATGCTAGGACTTCCCTGGTGGCGCAGTGGTTAAGAATCCGCCTGCCAATGCAGGGAACATGGGTTTGATTCCTGGTCTGGGAAGATCCCACGTGCCGCGGAGCAGCTGAGTCCGTGTGCCACTGCTGAGCCTGTGCTCTAGAGCCCATGAGCCACAACTACTGAGCCTACATGCCACAACTACTGAAGCCCACGCACCTAGAGCCCGTGCTCAACAAGAGAAGCACGGGCACCACAACGAAGAGCAGCAAATAAATGAGTAACTGTAAAAAAAAAAAAAAAGAGTACTACTCTTAAAAAAAAGAAAAAGAAAAATAGGATGCTAGAGCCTTTAAAGGAAGAGCGGCCAGGACTGGGAAATCTGCCTCTACCATAAGAGATTATACCACATTAGTCTGGGATGACAAAGAAGTCCAGACCCTATCGAAACGCAAGGCATTCTGATGATCGTACAGTGGGCACAGAAAGAGCAGGGACTTTGGATTAATAACTGGGGGAGTGGGAAAGCTATTGGTTTGTGTGGGAGGGAACAGGGGTCATAATAGGCCAGGAGAAAGGCCTGAGTTTTCCTTGGGATCTGCTTTGTGGGTGAGGGGAAGGAACCATAAGGGGATGAGCAACGTCTTCAGGCCACGGCAGCTCCGGCCCGTCTCCTTGCCTGGCCTTGTCCTGGTTAGCTGGACCCCATTTAAATATCTGGGTGCAAGCTCAGTCGTGCTCTGGCTCCCTCCGGCCTTCATTCCCCAGGGGCTTCTGGCCCCAGCCCTGTCTCAGGCACCATGACTGGTCAGAAGACAGTGCCCAGCTGGTTAGTGGCAAAATCCATTGGCTTAGTTTTCTGTCTCTGACAGACTCGGGAAGCTTCTGTAGAAGAGAAAGAGGGCCTGTTTCCTGCTCCCTCCACATAAGCTGCCCCAAGGTGGGCAGGGGGCTGGGAGTGCAGGGAGCTGCTCTTCACAAACACCCAGAATGGCCAGGATGTGATCGCAGGAACAAGAGCACACAAACACCAGGGAAGACACAGACCCAGAAATATGATGCCTGATGGCATTAGGTTTATTTTGTGGGAAGCAGAGTTTGGGGCTCTCGAAAGGCACTCGTGAGGCACAGAAGTAACGGCAGCCGTGAGACTAATGGTAGCTGGTGTACTGCAGAGCCCCTCGCCGGCATCCCCCAGGGCCGGAGAGGAACCTCTATCAGACAGGAAACCAGAGTCCCAGGGCCCCACGGTAGAGGAGGGGTAAGGAGAGAGTCTGCTTTTTTATACCAGTAATTCTGCTGCTCCTGGGCTTCCTTAAAGTCTGGCAGTTGCAGCTGGAGGCACAGGGCCCAGCCACTTCTCTCCTGGATGGAGAAAATCATGCCAGAGGCTGGCCGCACAAGCCCCTGGGGGTTCTCTAGGACGAGCTCCACCTGGCTTCAAGGTACAGTGGCTTCCTTCTCTCCTGTGGGAGAAGATGGCCCCCTCCCCATTCTACCTCAGGCACACCTGTGTCTGTATGAGGCTCCATTACTGGAAGGGCCTAGAACATTCTTTATTTTGCTCTGAATCCATCCTTCTGGGCAACTGATATCACGCAGGAGTGGGGTCAAGGGCAGCTCAGCATGAACCTGTTACTTACCCAGAAGGTGTGCCAGCAACTCCATCCGGTCAGAGCCAAACAGCATGTAGGTTTCATCATCCAGGTGGGCCACAGTGACAGGCAGCCCAAAGGCCTGGAGAAAGCAGTCAGCGTGCAGGAAGGAGGGTGATGGAGCAGGTGGTTATTGGGCTGCCGTTGAAGGCTGCACGTCAATACTGGTCAGAGGTCACAGACACAAAGCAGCCAGAGGTGTTTGATAAGAGGCTCCGGGTCTCTAGGGAGAGTTCTGTGTCTCCTCTCTCACCATCTAGCTCCCTCCCTTCCTTTCCTGGGGTCCAGGGAAAGGAAGGGAGAGGGTGATGGTGGCCTGGGAGAGCCAGGAGGGCTCACGGTTGGTGAGCAGCTTTTGGACAGGAGCATGGGGACCCTGTCTCAGCGCTGAGGCTGGGGCCGCACAGTTGCTCACCCCGTATCTGCAGGCTGCATCAGTGGTCTCCTTCAGCTGGTTCTTCACCTGTGGTGTTGAGACCCTTTCCAGAAGTTCCCGGGCTCGTCCCGTGGACATGCCAGCCTTCTCTGCAGCCTGAAGGGATGGGGTAGGGAACACAACTGTGTCTGCATTAATGCGGGAGGGGAATCTCAGGAAAAAACGGTTTTTAAAATTTTCTGTCCCCACATTATCCTGGCAATGCCTTTACCCACCCATGAGTGGAGGTCTATCCTTGCCAACAGGGGCTGTTTTTCCCTTCAAAATCATGAGATGGGTGGAAAGGGTGGGTGGCAGAGGCATAGTTGCAGAAAGGTAATGCCAGAGGGCATCTTAGAGACCAGCTTCCCAACCACTTTGTCAACAGATGAGCCTGAAGTCCAGAAACGTACATATCTTGGTCAGTCTTGAAGAGATTGTTAGTAGCAGAGCCAATGCTAGAATCTGAGTCCCCTGACAGTAAGTCTGGGGCTCGTGCCTTCCTACTTCTTAGAACTCCTGAATCAAGGGCTGGGCTCTAATCCCTATACAATTTCCTGTGGACTCTGGACAAGGCACACGGCTACAGCTATGAGTGTCTGGCTTCAAGAGAACGTTGAAGGCTTCAGTTTGGGGTTTGCTGGGATCGGTGGCTCTTCACTTTAGCTGCACATATGAGAATCTCCTGGGGGAGCTTTTGAAAATCCCAGTTTGCGTGTCATCCCTGAGTATAAGTACATCGGAATTTCTGGGTGGTGGTGCGCAGGTGATTTTAATATACACCCAGGGTTGACAACCACTGGGACCTGATCTCCACCACCTGGACTGGGAAATGCAAGTCATCCATGACGTTGTCTTTGACCACATGAGGGACTTGTGTTCTGACCAAGGGTTCAATAATAGGGCAGTGGTTAACTAAACAAATCCACTGAATGGAATGCTATGTGGAAACTAACAATTATACTCTCCAAGAGTTTTAAATGGCATGGAAAATGACTGTTAAATATTAAGTGAAAAAGCAAGCCTACGCATAGACTTTGCAAGAATAAAAACATGAAGGATATATTGGGCATGCTTTGTATGTTTAACTTTTTTGTGACTTGTCGTTTTATCTATTACATTTGAAGATGCCTCAACTGTCTTTTGTAAACTTAAGGGAAAAAAAATATGGTGTTGAATTTTCCGATTCAATCCTGCAGAAACACTTACTTTTTATAGCCCTATCTATGGCTGGCACACATTTTAAAGTTTTGAGCTATTTCCATTTTTCTCACCCAGGCTTCTGCGTAATTTTGGCTTGAGTCAGTTATCTCTTTTTGTCTTTTTTTTTTTTGCGGTACGCGGGCCTCTCACTGTCGTGGCCTCTCCCATTGCGGAGCACAGGCTCCGGACGCGCAGGCTCAGCGGCCACGGCTCACGGGCCCAGCCGCTCCGCGGCATGTGAGATCGTCCCAGACCGGGGCACGAACCTGTGTCCCCTGCATCGGCAGGCGGACTCCCAACCCCTGCGCCACCAGGGAAGCCCTCTTTTTGTCTGTTTTGAAAGTCTCCTGGATGTGATGGTGAGGTCTGCATTGGAGTCTTTGGGGCCAAGACTTGCCCATACTTCACATCTGCAGGTGCCAACATTTAACACCGCTCTCCCACTGACTTCTCGCATCAAATACGTGCTACCCGTGTGGAATGTTGCACTTCCTCTTTCAACCACGGGATGGTCTTTCGCGAGTCCTCTTACTTCCAACCCTTTAGTAATTTCGCCTATCAAAGATCCTTCCTCCCCTAACTATGACTTCTTCTACCCAATAAGAAAACGATGTCCTCTTTGCCCCCGGATGTCAACTGTCCTCAGACTCCCCACGGGAGGAGTGGGGACACTCACGGCCAGGATGCTCTGGGGCTCCGTGATGTCTTCGTCCTGGAAAAAAGAGGACACTCAGTACGAAGTGAGGGGCGTGATGGAGGACACTAGGTCAGTGAACGATGGGGAAGGCAGGACCTGGACTGAGCCTAGGGCAGGGTCACCGAATCATCCAGGGTCTCCCTGCAAGTGGGTTCCCAGAGCCCCGCTCTCACCCGTGACCAGACGCGCATCCACAGTTCCCTGGACACTTTCTCCAGCAACTCCGGGTGCTCCAGTTTCACGACGGTGAGGAAGCGCATGGCTGTCAAACTTCCTGTGGGGCAGAGGCACTCAGAGGTAGGGCTCCTCTAGCTTGTTTCCCCAGGGAAGACCAGCTCTTTCCTGCTTCTGACACGCCGCAGTGCTCCAATGCCCTCAGGCTCCCACCCACTTTTCTGATGACGCATTTGTCCTGCTCTCCCTCCCCTGACATCCTCAAACCTTCTGCTCCCTTAACTCTGATCCTGAGTTTTCCCAAGGTTCACTTCAGGGAATCACCCGAACCCCTCCTTTCTGCCCCACCAATCTCCAAATCCACTCCTCTCTACTTGAGGCCCCATCTATATCCCACTGTCTTCACCTTTTTCAAAGATCACAAAGAAGAAATCCTTGGGTAAGTGGATGGGAACCTGGAGATGCTGTCCCAGGAGCCTGACGTCATTTTTCATGTATAGGGCTTTGCGGGGAAGCAAAGCTGGCGGCTGGTTTCCTGCAAGCAGAAAGCTGGGCTCACTGGTGAGGGACGACCTAAGGGTCCCGGGACTGGGGGACCCTTACCGGGGCTTCAGGCACAGGGCATGTTACTAGCTGCTGCCGCCAATATGAAGACACAGTGGAGGGCCACTCCCCTGGGCCTTTGCAATCTGTCTTCCCTCAAATCCCTGCCGAAAACGCTGTTGCCTTCATACCGCTGTCTTTCATGATCCCTGCAATTAAGGTCGGGCGCAGCTGCAGGCTAACGTTCCAGATGTTCTTATACCGGCACAGGACCTGCAGGGCGGGGGCGAAGATAGAGAGTGAAAATGGCTGAGGGAGGGAAAGGTGCTTCACGTTAGTCATCAGCCAGAAGCTATAGGCGCAGACAAGGGGTTATGAGGACGTCCTAAATTGTTTGGTTTGAAAGGGCAAAACGCTCTCCACTGCTAGAAATCGACCCCAGGACCTTTGCTCCTGTGGACAGTTTTTAATCTGTTCTTCACTCCACACCCCACCACACCAAACGGGAATCGGAAGGCTACGAAAAGGGCTTATATCCTGATTCTCTCTCATCTTCTTAACCACTGGGGGAAGCCCCTGCCTTAGGCTATAAGGGTTCGACCTGGAGCCAGCGATCGTATCCGGTTTACCAACAAAGTGACCTTCAGCCTGGATCTCTATCTGCTTGTCCTAAACCGCGTCGGGCAGCGCCAGGACTTTCACAAGATTGCGGTCCCTACGCCCTTCGCTCGCCCTTCCCTCTGCCCTCGTCCTCCAAGCCCCGGCCGAAGCGGCTCCCCCGGAGTCACCTCGAAGGCCAGCCAGGAATAGGGGGACAGCACATCGTAGAAGAGTTCGAGAGTCCGCGGCAGCGGTCCCATGCTGCGGCTGGCCGCAGGCGAAGCCACCACGGCCCCGGAAGCGCACCGGCGGATACTTCCTTCCTCCTGCGCGCGGCGGCCCCGCCCCGGCGCCCGGCATCCCCGGGGGACCGCCCCGCCCCGCCCCGCCCCGGCCGCTCAGCCTCGCAGGGGAAACCCGCCCCCGGGACAGAGTCAGGTGGTTGGTCGGAGTGTAGGGGGCTACCCGAGGGCGGCCGTGGAGGGCGAGGGTGAGGGGCGTCCCCTGGGGAGCGCGCCGCTGCACCTCGTGGTCACCGCCCTGCCCTGGGGTGGAGTGTGGGACAAAGGGGCGTGGTTTGAGATGCGCTTGCCTCTTGCTTAGCTGTGCACCTCTGGCAAGCCTGTTGACCTCTCTGAACCACAGTATCCTCGTCCCTCGTAAAAATAGGCATAAAAATACGGGATATATAATGATAACCCTACCTGTAGACTTGGGAGGAGTGAAAGTCACGTTAGTTATTAGTGTTAGTTGGCAGTTACAAGAACTTTCTGGGACTGGGGCAGAGTAAGAAGTGCCCCAATGATACTTTTGTTTGTTTGTTTTGTTTTTAATTTCTCAAGAGTTTAGGACGATGTCTGGAATATATTTGGTAATCAATACATATTGTGAGTGAGTGAAGGAAAGGAGACCTTATTGCAACGTTAATTGGAGGGATAATGGGAATGGTCTGCCCTACTTTTACCGGTAAGTATGTCATGTTGTCTTATACTGGGATTACATTTAATGCAAAGAAACAGAACTTTCTAAGTTCCATTTAATTTTATTAAAATTATTTTTAATATTACTAATTTTATGAATTTTAAAACATAAATAACATTCCACTTCTCATTTGTGCGCATTGGAAAAACAATCCTAGGCTTTCAGAATACAAGGACACAATGGAAACCTTTACATAGAGTAAAACAAAGAAAATGGAATGAGAAATGAGGTTATCTTCACTCACTTTCACATTAAACTAATTTCTTGATGATCACTGAAACTAAAAAAATTATACTCTGTTTTCCTCCAGTAATACTGATATTAATTTAAAAGTATCCAAGAGCTAATTTAGCCTGGTAATAAGATTTTATTTTGAAAATACCTTTATATTTGGAAATAATTTTAGACTTACAGAAGAGTTGTAAAGGTAGTACAAAGAGTTTCTGCATATCCTTCAACCAGCTTCCCCTAATGTGAACATTTTACATAACCATGGTATAACATCAAAACTGAGAAATTAACACTTAAAAATTAACTAGATTACAGGCTTCATACTGCACCTGTCTTTCCACTAATGACTTTTTCTGCTCCAGGAACCAGTTCAGGGTACCCCACAGCATTTAGATGTCATGTCTCTTTAGTCTCCTCTTTTTTTTTTTTTCAAGTTTTTATTTATTTATTTAGTTTTGGCTGTTTTGGGTCTTCGTTGCTGCACACAGGCTTTGTCTAGTTGCAGCAAGCGGGGGCTACTCTTCCTTGCGGTGTGTGGGCTTCTCATTGCGGTGGCTTCTCTTGTTGAGGAGCATGGGCTCTTAGGGGCGTGGGCTTCAGTAGTTGTGGCTCACGGGCTTCAGTAATTGTGGCTCACGGGCTTCAGTAGTTGCGGCACGCAGGCTCAGTAGCTGTGGCGCATGGGCTTAGTTGCTCCTCGGCATGCGGGATCCTCCCGGACCAGTGATCTAACCCATGTCCCTGCACTGGCAGGTGGATTCTTAACCACTGCGCCACCAGTCCTCTTATCTATGAAAGTGTTTTGGCTTTTTCTTGTGTTTCGTGATCTTGACACTTTTGAAAAGTATTGGGCAAGTATTTTGTAGAGTGTCCCTCAATTTGGGTTTGGTGTTTTCTCATGCCAAGGCTGGGGTTATGGATTTGGGGGAAGCATACCACAGAGGTGAAGTGCTCTTCTTCTGCACTCGAGTCAGGGGGTTTCCAACATAAAAATGATTTATTATCAGTGATGTTGACTTTGATCACTTGGTCACTTTTGATCAGTATTTCCCTCCTTTCCATGTTCTATTCTTTGGAAGGAAGTCACTAAGTGCAGCCCACTCTGGGGGGTGGGGTTAGGGGTTGGGTAGATTAAACCCACCTTCTGGAGGGAAGAACATCAAAGAATTTGTGGACATATGTTAAAACCATCACAGTAATTAAGACATATTTTGGGGGAGATACTTTGAGGCTTGCATAAGTCTTGTTCCTCCTTAAACTTTCACCTACCAGTTTTATCATTTATCAATAGAACTTGCCTGCAGCAATGATTACTGTGGTGTTCTAATCGAGATTTTCTATTTCCCTCATTTCTTCTACATTTATTAATTAGAATTCTTCTGAAAGGAGAATTGTCCCATTCACTCGTTCATTCATTTGATGATTTATTTATATCACTGTGGACTCGTGGATATTTATTTTAAGAGTCATAGAATGGTAAACATTGATCTGAGTCTCTGTATCCTGCCTCATGCACCATTATTATTATGACTATTATGAATTAGATTGGGCCCTGTTGTGGGTAATATGGAGTGTGAACAACAACAAAAAATATGTACACTTCTGTGCAGAATGATCTGCACTTTGCTGAAAGGAGTGTCTTGGTACTGATTAGTTGGAACTAGAAATAGTGGTGTAAGTCAATGATTTAAGGTAGCTAAAGTAACTAATAGTACTTAGTAACAGAGGAACTAAACATGATGTACTTATCAAGCTTTGGAGGAGGGAGAGAAAGGGTAGCGTATGGAAACTAAATCCCAGCTTTCACACACAAGTCAGTGAAATAGCCTGCATTCAAAACATCGCTAGAGCTTTAATCATGTAATTTCGAGTTACATATTTGAAACCAGAAATGCTTTAAATAAGTTGCTTTTTAAAATCAGTAAAAGATGGATTATTAAATGGTATGGGACAACTGGTAATTTTAAACAAAATGTAACTGGGCCCATACCTCACACCTTACACAAGGAACATCTCTAGATGGATCAAATATTTAATGTTAGAGAAAGAAACCAATAAAGTACCTGAGGAACTTAAGGGAAAAAACCTTTAAAAAAAATTCTGGGAGTAGAAACAGCTTTGCTAACTAGTACCAAATGCAGAAGCCTTAGAAGAAAAGATTTATATATTCAATTACATGAAATTTTTAAAAAATCTGTTTGGCAAAATCCAGCAAGTCAAAAAATAACTGGGAAAAAATATTTGGGTTCATTTCACAGTCAGAAAGGTAGTTATCCCAGTGTAGAAAGAGCTAAAACATCAATAAAGTAAAAGAACAGAAACCCAGTGGAAAAGCAGGCAAATGATATGAACAGAACATTCACAGAAATGGACAAATAGATGGCTCTAAAACACAAACCTGCTTGTATACACTTACGAAAACTGTGAGCTAAAATTACATTATGATATGTTTTCATCTATCAAGTTGGCAGAGATCAAAAAGGGTTATGACTCAGGTAGTTGGCAGGAATCCATGGAAAGTCATTGTCTTACGTAAGTGGTGGGAGTGTAAATCAGTACAACCTCTAAGCAGGGCAGTTTAGCAATACCTCTCTGTTTTAAAAATGCACACACCCTTTGACCTAGCAATTCCCTTTTTAAGAATTTATACTATAAACATGTTTACCTACATGATGTGCTGTGAGGTTATTCCAGCGTTGTTTGTCATAACAAAAGATTGGAAAACTACCTAAAGCTTCATCCATGTGGGTCTAATTCAATACACCAATATTTATAATATTTTCAACTTTAAAAAGAATTTGGAAGCTCTTTATGTGTTAATACTGGATGATAGCCTGTATATTGAAAAGTGAAAGACAAGGTGTAAAACAGTGCAAATAATTTGCTATCTTTTTTTGCAGGGTTTAAATACTCTCTAAGTGTGTGGATATACACATACCCATATATGCTCATTGATACTGATAGATGGAGAGCTAAAAAACTGATAAAACCAGTTGCATTTGAGGAGGGAAGCTAGGTGACTGGGGGCAGGGCAGGAAGGAGACTTTTTGTTGTATATCATGTTTACTACTTTTTGATTTTTGACCCATGTGAGTATATTATCTACCCACTAAAGGAAGACAGGAAAGAAGGACAAAGAGAGGAAGGAAGGAAGAAAAATTTAAAAAGGAAGGAAGGTGCCTTTAGGAATTTGTACTAGCAGAAAGGGGGGGGAGGGGATTTCAAGGAGATTTATATGATTTATTAGCTTTTGTATATTTTACTTTGATTTAAGGAAAATGTCAATTATGAAGGCCATGTAGCAACACGTGTGACACAATTTTAAGATATAATATTTTCCAAGATACAACTGAGTATTTACATCACTGGTTCTCAGCGCCTGACATTTTCCTAAGGATATGCGAAGGGTGATGTGAAATTCTGTGTGCTAGCTTCCACACATAAGAAACCATACCAAAATGCAAGAGACTCAAGTTGACATTATTATGGTTCTAATCTTGGAATATGCTGTGCTATATTAAGAGGTAAACCTTGGCAAACCAGGTTTTTTTTTTCTTGTGATACGCGGGCCTCTCACTGTTGTGGCCTCTCCCGTCGCGGAGCACAGGCTCCGGACGCGCAGGCTTAGCGGCCATGGCTCACGGGCCCAGCCGCTCTGCGGCATGTGGGATCGTCCCAGACCGGGGCACGAACCCGTGTCCCCTGCATCGGCAGGCGGACTCTCAACCACTGCGCCACCAGGGAAGCCCCAAACCAGGTATTTTAAATACGATTAATAACAAATATAGTTGGAACATCTTGTAGCTCATCAGGACATACCAGTGTGACAACATCGCAGCTGAGAACAGCTAATATATGCTGTCATTATACCCTTGTAAAATACGCACATATTGGACATAGGGACAAAACCAAAAAACAATGGAAAAAATGAAAATAGCTGTATTAGGGATTATACATAATTTTCTTAATTTCTAAGACTCCCTTTCAGGCTTTGATAATTTCTTTTTCTTCCCCCTTCTAAAACAGCTTTATTGAGGTATAACTGACATACGATAAACAGCACATAT